ATGTGTGTGTGTGGATGTGTAAAAATACAATTATGTGCATATGTACGCACATATTTGACAGTAGTTATACAAAAGTATAATATATGTATGTGTTTTTGTTAACTGTAATACGTACAATTTTGCTGTATTTTTGCTCACATAATGTACACATACCTACAACTTTATGTGTATGTGTACGTGTGTATTTATGTATGTATGTATGTATGTGTTTGTATGTGTGTGTATGTGTGTGTACGTAAGCATTGAAGAGTAGAAGGGGAATGGACATATGTGTGTGTGCCTATTTATTTATATTGCAAACATTTGTATGCGTGATGCTTGCTGTCTGTATATTTTTGAAATTCTTTTAATTCTCTTATTCATCATGTGTTTTGCTTTGTGTGCTTGTTTATTGTTTGTATTTGGTTTGTGACGCTACGTGCTTCTATATACGGTTTCTGTATGTGTACGTATGTGTGGTTATATATATATATTTGTGTGTATGTGTGTGTGTGCATTTGTTTGCGTACGTGTATGTATATTTGTGTGTGTGTTTGTCTTTTTATCAAACACTGTTTGTCTGTAAATTTAATTAGAAATAATGCTTGGTTCTTATGATGTTTGTTCGCGAACATGAGCAAACAAGACACGTTCTCACGTTGTTGAAGGTAAATATTGAGCTCTGACATGGAAAAGTTTTCATGTATGTATGTATGTATGTATGTGTGTGTATATATGTGTATGTATGTATGTGCGTGTGTCTGTGTGTGTATAATTTTGTATGTTTGGTGTATGTGTGTATGATTGACTGATTATATATTTCTCTCGTGTGTTTTTTAAACTCTTGTGTTTGTTGCTTGTGTGTTTTTTTGGAATACTCTGGGGATCACTAGTTTGTTTGTATTTTGTATTGCTGTTTATACAAATGTTATACTCAGTTTTGTGTATTATTTTTAGCTGTTTGTGTTACTTTGTGTACGTGTATTCATATGTGTGTGTGCGTGTGTGTATACAAAACTCAATCGTATACTGAAATCAGATAAAAAAAATTGTACAGCATATATATATATATATATATATA